ACCTCTGAGGAGATAGATTTGGGAGGATCCGCTTTCCAGATGAGGAGAGTTGCCCAGTTCCCACGTGAGTCTCTGGAGACAGCCTTCTCCCAACCCCACCCCATGCTCCTGGGCCAGAAGCCCGGAGGGGTGCATGCTTGAGTGTGAGTTCCCATGAATAATTGAGGGTCTTGCAGCGCCCCACAGCTGTCCCCACTCCCTGAGCCGGGGAGGGGGTGGTGGTGACGTCATTCCCTCCCCTGCCAGAGCCCCTGCACCTGGGTTATAAGGCTGTGGCGCTGGCTATCCGCTCAGTGGAGAGGTCCCGGTCCTGACTCCCCACCATGCCGCACGGTGCGCCCACCTCCGCAGCTCTGCTGCCCCTGTTGCTGGTCCTGCTGCTGGGGGCTGGTGAGTCCAGAGTCCACAGGGCGATTAGGTGACAGGCAGTACACCAGGGGTCGGGCTATAGACAGGCAGCTGAACTTAGAGACAGGGAGAGCACACCTGGCAGGTGCCTGGCTGGTGGGCTGGGGTTCCAGGGGAGTTAGGATCAGTACCACGGACAGTGCCTGTTTCTTCCCTCCATAGTCTCCTCCGCTCCCCTGGAGCCCAGACCCAACAAGGAGGAGGTAAGAAAGGAACCCTTCTTTGCCCTCTCCATCCTGTCGGGTCGCTCTGCCCAACTTTTCCCAGGATCCCCACCTCTTTTCTTTTTTTCTTTTTTTTTAGTCCTGTACCCATTCTGTTTTCCCACTCCCTCTGACCTTTCGTCCTTGCCCTCAGCTAACCCGTTGTCTAGCAGACGTGGTCATGGAGGTGCTGACACTGGGCCAGGCCCAGAGAGGCCCCTGCACAGCTCTGCTCCACAAAGGTAGGGATGCCTTGGTTCCCCTCAGAACATCCTTCTCTACCCTCCTACCGGCCCACAGTGCATGGTGGAAGAGTTCCCCTGCCTGGGTTAGTGTAGCACTATTTACCCCCGCCCCCCCACACACACACCTGAACGAGCCTGGCTCCCTTGAAGCTTCCTGCAGCATAGGGACTGGAGCAGAAAACAATCTGCAGCCTGTGACACCCCCTCCCAGTGCCAAGCAGTTCCCTTCATGATGTTGGGAAGGACCCAGAACTCTTGGGGGTCTCCATTTCTCAGTTGGATGCACAAAGAGCACCCTCTCTTTCCCTGCCAGAGATATTTGAGAGAGAGCCCCATGGCTGCGTGTCCCTTGAGGAGAAGAGGTTGCTGGGTGGGGACTTCACCAAGCAGGAGGCTGGAAAGATGAGGTCCAGCCACGAGATACGAGACAAGGAAGCAGAGGAAGCAGCAGAGAGGACCCAAAAGTCTGAGGTGCAGGAACAGGCCATCCACACACAGCTCCACAGCCAGCTCCGCCAGGAGGAGGAAGAGGAGGAGGAGGAAGAGAAGAGCCATCCAGGGAAGACCTTAGAGCATATGTGGGCGCAGCATCTAGAGAGTGCCAGGGGCCCCCAGAAGCGGGTGGCTGAGAAGGCCAGCGATGAGGAGACAGCCCAGTTTCAGGCAGAGGAGAAGGGTATGCAGTTGCTGGGTGGAGGCCACAGTCTGTGGCAGGACGCTGGGAAGGTCCGGGGAGAAAGGCATGAAGAGTCCTCGAACCATCGTCACCACCTGGAGCAGCCGGACACCAAGGCCAAGCATGAGGAAGAGGCAGAGGAGGAGGAGGCGGCTTCAGAACAGGTGAGTGGGGGGGGGCACTCCAAGGCCACCCAAGGGGGTCCCTCCCAACACGTCCAAGTGCTGGGCCACAATGAAATCCACCATGAAATGGGTCATAGTGACCAAGCATGCACCAGGACTAGGTAGAGATGCCCAAACAAGGACAGTAACCAGAAAGACACCACTAATTACCCAGAAGCATCAGCATTGGCTACCATTGCCAAGTAAGTTGGCTCCCACTGAAGCCAGCAGCTACTGGCACGGTTCACTAGGCTAGTGACAGATACCATTGGCCAAGTCATGCAGAATTGAATATGTTGTCCCGCATACCATTGGCCAAGTCATGCAGAGTTGTATATGTCCTGCAGGCTGGCAAGAGGCCTGGCGACCTGGGTTCAATCCCTAGACCCCATGTAGCAGATGGAGAGGACTGACTCCCACAGGTTGTCCACTGACCTCTCCACATATGCTACGGTACATATGTGTACATACATACCCACAATAAACAAGTATAAACTTTTTTTTAAAAAAAATTATGGACTGCAGAGATAGTTTAATAGTTCAAAGCATTGGCTGCCCCTCCAGAAGACCCAGAAGATTAAGGGATCCTATGCCCTCTCCTGGCCTCCAGGGGCACCAGGCAGACAGATATGTGATATACAGACACATATGCAGGCAAACACTCATACACAAAATTTTCTTTTAAATTCAATATAACCTCAGTTGGGAGCAGCAATGAAAATGGCCATCACATCACAGATGGGTCACTCAGGGCCGGGATGTAGGTCCATGGTCGAATGTATGCCTGGCATGCACAGGCCCCGGTTCAATTCCAAGCACTCCATAAACCAGCTGAATGGCACACATCTGTAATCCCAGCACGCAGAACAATGGAGGCAGAGGATCAAGAGACCGATGTGGCAGCAAATGTGGACGGACCTCCACGCTGGTTAGGCGGGCAAACGGAACTTTTAGGTTTGTGGAAAGAAAGACAGTAGCCATCACTGACCATGACGGACAGCTAGGAAGGGACTTCAAGCCACCAGTGTATGAAGCAGCAGGTTGGAGTCACAGAAGCAGCAGGTTGGAGTCACAGTAGCCACCAAGGTGGTAACCATGTTTCTGATCTCCCCCAGGAAGACTGTGTGGACAGGCTAGAGCACATGGAGGAGCAGCTAAAGAAGGCCACCGCCATGCTGGGGGAGGCACTTGCGAGGGAAGGCTGACCCCACTCCACTCTTCTCCTTTCCTATACTCCCTAAGGCCCAGGGCTGTTGACCTCAGAGCCCCCATGCCATCTGGCAGGGA